TATATATATAAACCAGTAATATAATAAAAATACATAATAAACCAGTAATGGTTAATGTTGGGGAAAATGTCTGGGTTAGGCATAAATACAGTTACAAAAATGAATGGAAGTCATTACGAATGGTGTGTTCCAATAACATAGCAGAAGCAGAAGCAGAAATTTTCTCACTCCCATTCGTAAATTTAAACGGGAGCATTGGTAAATCTTATTCATATGGTGGTGGGGGCTGCGACTCCCAGTTTTGATTTCAAGATGGCGGCTCTCGCAGCAACTCATTTTGTCATTGTTCATATTGATCGTAGCAAGGTTAGTGGAAGCAATGCAACCAGCAGCTAACTGGAATGCAGTTTCATACGGTTTGTTAGGACATTATATCAAAACCACTTTCCAGTTCCAGAATATGATGTATAGGGTTTTTCCTGAAGAAAACACATCTTTGYGGACCAAAGCCTGGTCCCCACTGATGCTGTGCTGGTTTTGGGGTGAGTGGGGGTGGATTAGGGTAAAGGCTCAGGGTAGGAATGACTGAAAAATAAATGAAAGCCTATACAAGGTCCCTACAAGTTCAGAAAAAACAACTTGTGTGTGAGTCTGTTCACCAGCCCAGTGGTCAATCAGAGTCTCATGCTGTTTTAAACATTTATCACYGCCCTCCTCTCCTTATTTGTAGCAGTAAATTATTAAACCTTCACCTATTTTTAAATTATTCAAATAGAAGCTTTTTTATTAAACACCTGCTTGATCTAAACCTCTTTTTATGGGTTTAAATCTTACGAGCTGAAAGGGAGAGTCACGCATTTTAATTTAAACAGTATGAGAGGCCGTTTAGGCCATAATTCAAACTTGYTGTCACACATACAATCAAACTCTCTCATATTTACCATCAAACTCTCTTAYACATAGAGTTTGATGGTAAATGTGAGAGACTTTGATAGTRTGTRTGAGAGGGTTTGAATTATGGCCTAAAGGGCCTCTCATATAACGGTGAGAGATAATTGCGTGTCTGTTTGTTACGGACTGATATCATTTTAGCTGTTTTGTTCTTTTGATTCCCTTTCTGCCTCTGACAGACYGGACTGGGACTCGTCAGACTCTCCCTCGTGGACCCTCTCTTCGTTTTCCCCTCTCCCTCCAAAAGCATGATTAATACTTGATGCTGCGATCGTAGCAGYCCCATGTACCGGAGCAGTTGGTGGATGTTTGAGGCTATGGGGAAATGTCACTCTTTGTGTGTGCGTGTATGTGTGTGAGGGRTTTTACACAACGTTGTCCTGGTGATTAAGGCCACATGTTATTGACTGGCAGACTGCTTGAAGTGCAACATCATCATAAATAATTTGTCTGACTTCCAGAATAAACAATCCCTTTTGTCGGCCGCTCTGACAGTCTCTCATTGAGCAGGAGATGCATTTTTTATGTTTTTTTTCTTGACCTTTTATTTAAGTTGTACAAGGAGCTATTTCTTATTTACGAGGTCTGAAGGAAATCAACAGATGTGTAAAACGTTTATGGAACTCAGTGTTTTATGAATATAAACGCACTGTTTTCTTTATGAATAATAAAATAAAATGGTTTCGACAGTTCTCTGAAACCTCCTGAACTTGAGTCCATCAGAAAGAAATAAACAGAATCACTTTGTGACTTTGAACAGTTTTAGTTTAATCGTTGTGACACAAAAGACATGAGAGAATAAAACAATTCGAAGTGTTTTCTCATGTGGAGCTGTTCGCCCTGCTGTGTTCAGCTTTATTCATATCACAGCATCTTTACCATGAGTTCACTCCCACAGAGACGAGATGGGAACAGAGGAAGGCCTAAAGGAAAATGTGATGAGAGATTGTTAGAGGGGAAAAGGAAACAGAAGAGGTGCATTTAGGGAAGCGAGGGAGAAATCAGAGGGAACAGAGACGAGGCGAGGCTGCAGTGAAGTCTGGAGATTATTTCAAAATAAAAGCTGGGAAATAAAAGAGAAAAAAGTGAAATGGAATAAAAAAGAATAGAATAAAATAACGTCAGAAGTGATGCTTTCATGTTGGGACACACCCAACTCTTGTGTCATCGTCTCACACACACATACACACACACACACACACACACACACACACTGGCAGACAGACACACACTCCATCAACCTCCTGTCCCTCTGCATTAAGACTGGCCTCAGGGCGTGAGGCACAAACTGAAAGAAGGAGCTGTCGTTTAAATCACCGTTGGCTGATGGAGTCATGAAGCAAACATTCTGATCAGCAGAGGAAAAACTAAAAAAAAAATGAACAGACTGGATGTTTCCCCACCTGTAAGGTGGGCTTCATCTGACAGAACCATCAAAACCTCACAGGTGTTCACAACCCTGTTACAAAACTCCTGTTTTACACAAACTCTAAATTTAAATCAAAAATGGATGAAGTCAGGTTTTTTTTATCAAGTAGATTTTTTTACAGAGGTCAAGAAAACTTAACAATAATAAGACAAAACTTATAAAGCAATAAAAAGAGTATTTTAGAGAAAAATAAAAAACTGTTTTCCAGTTCAACTTTTCTTCATATTTTCCTTACTGTTTTATTTTAGATTKCTAATTCTGCCTCGGCTGTGAGGTTTTATCTGGACGTGTGTGAAAGTAACGGCGATGGGGGAGGAGAGGCGGGAGGAGTGATGGGTTCTTTAGTGGTTGTGAGATGGCAGCCACCAGTTCCACAGCTGGTGCACCAGCAGGCGGCCCAGCCTGGCCATATGCTGCCTGGGCTGCCCCCATTATCCTCCGAGTGCCCCCCCCCCCCACCTCACTCCCTAACCCCAAACCATTACAATGCTCCTGCACCCGCCTCACTGCCACTCTCTGCTCCCATCACAGCAATTATGGCTCCAAACGAGACTCAAAACTGTGAATGGTTTCATCCTGTTTTAATAGAAGAAAATCACACAGGAAGCTTTGACCAATGATTTTTAATGTTTTGTTTTGTTTTGTGTCGATTGTTGCTTTAAAAAGCTAATGAAAGTTTACAATCTAATTATTTAACATCGTTTTTATTGTGCATATTGTTCAAGAAAAAAGTTTAAAAAATGGGAGAAAGTTTTAAGTTTGGCTGTTCGGATCCTTTCAAAGAGCTGAGTCATCTTAAGGTTTAGGAAAGTTTCTTTTTATTTGTTAGTTTGTTTTATTTTTGCAACACCAGTGTTGTCATTTTGATCATTAAAGTAGGTCTTTTCTAAAGCTCCTGTTTTAGAATCTGTTTCTTGGCTCAACAGGATCTCTGCAGCAGGATGTGTGTTTCTCTGAACGTTTGAGACCTGAAGACTCATTTTTTCTTATTTTGATCAGTTTGTCAAAGAAATGTTGAGCAGAAAATCCTAAAAATTGAACTCATTCAATCCATTCGTTAACTCCATGTGTTTCTTCCTGCAGGGTTTTTCTAAAAAGCTAAGATCAGATGACTTTGTGACTTTTTTTAGAGAGAAGTTCATTTTAGAAGCTGTTCAAAACTAAAGCGATGAGACTGACGGTTCTTAAAGAAGACCTATTTTGCAAAATTCCCTTTTTACATGCTTTTATGCTTCAGTTTGGGTCTGTACTGCTTCTAGAAACRGTCCAAGTCAATATGTAAATGTTTTGTTAGTGTCAGCAAATGAGCTGTTTCAAAAACCTGCAGATTGTTGCATCACAATCAAAGTAACCTACCCCAAGGTGAGCCCAGCCCCTCACCTGGTAACCCAAGMGGAGACTCCGCCCACTTCATTTCAGGATGACCACGTTAGTTCTGCTGTTTTTACAACAGCCACAGAGAACCTCACGAGGCCTAATTTTATTCTTACTTTTAGTGGTAATGTCCATGTGACATTGCCTGATAAAGTAGTAGCTTGTGCAAATAACTGTTTGGAGGGCGGAGCTAACGTAAACAAAAGGTCGGGAGGGCGGGGCTAACATCATTCTGAAAGGTCAGAACAGACAGAAATGACCAGGTGAAATCTCATCATCATAAAGTGATTTTGTGTTTTAAATCCAGTGAACTTGTGTTCGAACATGTTCAAGGAACCTCGATAGGTCCTCTTTAACTCACACCAGGAAGTGGAGAAACCTGACGGTTGCAGGACTGTGAGAACTTTTTGTGGACGTCAWTGTCCTGCTGGCTCCAGGTGTGTTCTGACCCACTTCCACAGGGACAAACCTTTTCCTGACCACTGTCCCTTTAGATTAAAGTGAAAATAAGATTGTTCTGCAACTGTTTATTGCTGTATGTCCTTTTAAAAAAGCGTCATCCCTTTTAATCCACAGTGAACACTCATCGCTTCACTTTCTTCTCTCTTGCCCCCCACCCCCTCACACACACACACTCGTCCTGTGTGGCCCCCTGGCAGAGATTCAGGGTCATCTACTGTTTCACTATTCCTGCTCTCACTGCTGTCACTTAGCCGACCCCCCCTGTACACACTGAGCCACATAATCACATCATCAGTGCTGCCTTTTAATCTGCTTCCCCCTCCTCCCCCTCCCCCTCCTGATCTTCATCATCATCATCATCA